AGCAAATTTGGGTTTACTTATGATTGTTGAAATAATATTTCCCCTCCCTCTTAATATTCAACTGAAATATTCAAGCTCTTTCAAACATTAAACTTTTCAGAATAATTTTCTCAGAGAATTTTACAGCTTTAACAAGACTAAGGAGACTGAAATCTATCAAATGTAATTAGTTTAAGAGAGTCCCTTTGAGATGCACAGTCCTACACATTTGGGAGATGTTAACCAGTTCAATATGAAAGAAGTTACATTTTCCCTATTGTTGTGGTTCACTTTCACAGCTTCGCACCAGTTTTTGGTGTGCACATTCTGTCCTGCTAGCTATAGAAAATCTAGTTCTCAAAATCTGAAAACCATATTTTAGAATGGAAATATCATACTTTACCTTTAAATAATAATTTTTTAATCTGAATTGCATTTCAATTATTTTTAAATTAATTTTATTTCTGTGCAACTTAATTTCTTAGTATAGGATTGTTAATAGTGCCAAGAATAAATAATTACCATATTACTAGATCTCAAACTATTTGCTAGACCTGAGACTCACTGCACATAACAACAGTTCCACCAATTTTTGTCCAACAACTTGATGATTCTCAGACCTAAATACAATAGTATGTCTTTGTCTCCTTTGAGCTGTAGGTCAGAGTTTATAGTCAAATGTCTGATCCTTAGACACTCGTGTATTTGTCAGAGAAATTTGTGAGAAGAAAGAATAAACCTGCATCTAATGTTACAAAAAGACATTTGGCAGAGGAAGTATTTATTCAATAAAAGCCTACTGAATTCAAGAGGAGGGCATGAGAAAGATATCTACTGTACCCTGGTTTTACATTTTTTCAAAATGCTCATAATGGAAAGAAAAAGGAATAACCTGTATCTAACTGCAGACATATTAGAAACTGGTACCCTTTAATATCTTGTTTTGATAATTTCTCACATGCTCTTCTTATCCGGGATTTAAGTTGAATGAGAACGACTAAAAATTCTTTGTCCCTCAAAAAAGTGGAAATGGAGATAGTGAAAGGATAATGGTTACATGATATTTGATCTATATCCAAAGTTCATGAAAATCTTGTTGTATGAGTCAGAAGGAAAGATAAAAGATACAGTTAAGCAATGTTTAAGCCTGACCCAGGTATCCTGGAAAAAGATGACTGAAGTCTCTCTACCTGGAACGCGAGAAAACATCAGTGGTCTGCAAAGATCTAAAGACACTATCATAGCATAAAATATGTTTGTTTCTATGTCAATATACAACATATGGTTCAGATATTTAAGTCACAAAGCAGTGGTGGAGTGCTTTACTCCAAAATAAGTTAGAAGTTAACAGACATCACAGATACAAAAGATTATACTAAATCATCCAAAATGACATTTTTTTCAAAAAGATAGAAAGCAGTAAAGAATGATTTGAAACACTAGACCCTTCCGTGAGAGACTTAAGGGGTATAAAGTAAAGCAGAACAGGAGCTGAATCCAAGTTATACCTCAGAAGGATTCCAAGAAGGATTTTGCTGTAAAAGCAAAATAATATTTTATTTGAAATAAAAAAAAGCTAAATGGATCATGAAAGCATCTCAGCAGGTTAAGATACTACAAGGAGAAAGAGAGCACTTCTTTATTTGCTTGTAGTAAAAACATGTCTTTTTTTTAATCTCCTTTACAATATTTGCAATTGGCAAAAGCTACACTGAATGTGTTGGAGAGATCTAAAAGTATCTTAGCACAGCTTGAGTTAAGAGTGATGCCAGATAAATGACTAATATAGGGCATTCTGGAATCCAGAAAGCTATGATTCATGCAACCATCCTCCTGAAACACTCATGTGAATCTGAGCTTTCCAGGAAATTTCCCAAGAGACAACATAAAAGAAGCCTCCCACTCATGCTGTGGGGCTAGTTCTGAGAAAGGGCATTGCAAAAGTGAGAGAAACAAGTATTTTCAAAGGATCAGTGGTCATTAGTAAAGACCTAAGTCATGTAGCATGAAAAGAGACTGACAGAAAACACCAAAATCCCCAGGGAACAAGCCACAAAAAAGAAACAATGCTCTTGATTACAGGAAGAGTAGAAGCACAGACAGATCTGCAACAGGGATACAGAGAAAATTTTCACAAGTGAAAGAGATGATCTGTGTGCTAAGCAATTTTTCCAAGGAATAACACAGAAAGTCTGCTATGGCCTGGATCCTCAAGCCAATCTTATCACCACAAGCCAAGTGACAGCCAGAGGAAGGAAATCAACTTTAAGTATCCAAAACAAATAGAAAGCTGTGTGAAAATGGAATCAGATCTCTCCTGGCTGAGGAAAACAAACTATGAGAAAATGAAAAATTGTTGCCTTAGTGCTATGTTTGCATTTTGAAAATTATATTCAGAAACTACTATGTTATAGGTCTTCATCCTGAGGCTGTATCATTCATTTTTCTCATTTGATTGACAAAGGAGTAGAGAGAAGGCTTCTTAAATTTGCACATGAAAACAATGTGTATATTTGGAGGAGATACTTGAGAAATGGGATAAAAGAAAGAAAAAGTTTAATAATGGACAAAAGTAAAATCCTACATGTAAAATTTCACAGATAAAATGGACAAGAGAAAGGTGGAAAAAAACATATTGTGGGAAAGGAATTTGGGAATTACAGTGAATTACAAGCATGAATCAACCATCTCCTGCTTTTGTGGTAAAAAGAAAATACTAAACTGGTATGTATTGTTTGAAAGACACATGAAACACTTTTTCCAGCCTACTCAGCAATGGTGATACTTCACATTGAGCCCAGTGTCAAGCCTGGGCACAACAGTTCCAGAAAGACACAGATCATTTGGAAGTAGCCCCTCCAGGAAAATTATCAGAGCACAGAATAAATAAACAAGTAATATCTATATGAGATTGTGGTTGGGGTTCTGTTTGTTTGGGCTTGTTTGTTTTTTTTTTTGCTTAGTTGATTTTCTTAAAGTTATATAGCGAATAAACAGTTCAAAATATATCTCACATCTGCATAAAATAATTTCACAACACTTGTTTTTACAATCATATTTCTTTTTGTCTCTATACAAATTTAAAGATAAGCAGGTTACAGAAGTTCTATATTACTAATGTGATTGCTACAACCTTGCTGATTTTTAAGTCCTACTTCAGATCTTTTTGAAAGCTTTTTGTTTTTATAGTATTTTGTGAAAAATATTCAAAATATATCAAAATTTTAAAAATATCTTCAAATACAAGTCATTATCATGCATGTATAAACACAGAGGAAAAAAAACACAGAGGAAAAAACACTTTCCTGAATGTCTAGTCTCAGTGACAGACCCCCCAAAAGTGAGAGGCCAGGGAATTGCAGATAATTTAGATTCCTTCATCCTTTTTTACAGTTGCATTGATCGGATTTCTTCCTAGTCCCAAACAATCCCAATTGCTACAGCATTTGCTTATATAGATTAAATCATTAGGAAAGTATTTTATAAACTACAATTGACTCTTGCAACTTCACAAATAAACTCTAAAAAGAAGAAAAAGCGTGAGAGATGTTATTCATTCACTGAATAAAATGTTTTAGTGGATATATGAGGGTGAGTTATATGTACAGAATATTCTCATTTCATAAGCAGGCACAAATCAGTTCTGCCTGTGCTCTGATTTGTGTGTGAACACCACCCACAAGCTCCACAGACCTTTAGTTTCAGCTCAGCACTGCGCTAATACAGCCAAAAGCAATTCCAGATCAGAACTGGCACCAAGTCCAGCAAGATTTCTCAAGTCTGCCTGCAGAAACACCTTTTCAGAGCATCTGATAAAAATTGTGGATATGGTGCTCTTTCTCATCAAAAGCTGGCAATATCTACCCCAATTTTTTTAGAAAAATGGTGGGGCCATAAAAAGACAATCAAGATCAGCTCTCTGTTTGAGACTGACTGGTGCAATTGCTCTGGTTATTGCTAGTATACAGAGTTGTATTTTAAGACAGCTTACAGCTCCAGTCCTAAAATAAACACAAACAAAATACCATTGCACTGAGTAGGAAGGAAGACTATGTTCACATGAAGAGACCTCAGAATGCAACTCTGAAGAGACTTCAGCCTGAAGAGATAACATTTGTGCTATTTTTGGAGATCATTAGCTGCCTTCAAAAGCATGTTTCATCTGCTGCAGCAAACCAAGCCATGCAAATGAACATACGCTTACAGTCCCAGACTATTTATTTGAATTTTGCCTTGAATTTCCTCAGTAACTTTAAAGATTTAGCAACAAAAATTAAATCCAGGACCAAGACAGAGGTAATTGTTTAAAGATACTTGGGTTCAGTTGTCAGGTTGAAGGAGATTGTTGCTCTTATAGCTTACACAAAACACATATTTTTGGGAGGCAAATTCCAGTCTTGGTAATGCATTATCTTGCTGGAAAAAGAATGCAAAAATGTTGATTTACTGGTTGTAACTGTTCAAATCTTACCACTTCATAATTCTTACCAAGTCTCAGATCTGAAAAAAAATTCTAAGTATTTACAAATTTGCATGTAATTCCACCTGAGTTCCATCTTCAATGAATCTTTACATGACTGAAAGGCCAGACATTAGACCACCTGTGTACCCCAATACCTCTGAAACTTGTATAGTTTTCAAATGAGCGGCCCTGCTTATTGGAATTTTAAGAATTTTATTGGAATTTTATTTGGGAGTTTTATGTACAGTAAACATTAAAATCAATGAGAATATTTCTGGGCACTTGTAAGATGTCCAATCAGATCACTGCTAATCTTGTATCACCTGCTCTTGGATGAGTATGGTTATGACCACTGAATTAAGTGATGAGCAAATAATGTTGAAAAATATCTGATAATTAAATGGTTTCTATTATTTCCCTGAAAAGGTTTTATTCACTTTTTAACACATGCTGTTAGACGTGCTTCAGGAGTCATGAGAACCCTTTTGTTTACTTTATTAATAGCAGAGTTGAAAGAACCACCTTCACTGAGAAGTCTACAATATAAAATCCATCCTACCTTCAGCTGTACTAGATGCACATCCACATGCTTGCTATCTGAGTCCTGCTGGACAGAGTAGGTCAGATCCCTGACTCTTTCAGATGTCATCCGAAGCCAGGTCTCAATTTCTGGCAAGTGGAGAACAATCTTCCAATCAGCCCCAGTGTGTAGAGGAGGAGGCTTTTCATACTGCTGGCCAGAATCAAGATCCTTTATGGCATCCTCTTCCCCATCTTGTTCCATTGTAGGAGTCATGTTTATAAGCATAGGAGATGCATCAGACGGCATCGAATCCAGTTCTTGTGTTCTCATGGGAGCAACTGCTACATCCATGGCTAACATGGGAAAGTCTAAACCATATTTATTTCAAAAACAGCTGTAAAGATAAAAAAAAAGAGAGACTGCTGTTACAAGATCAAATTTAGCAACAAAAATATTTACAGGACCAAGAGTGAATGATAATGTCTGAGGAATTGTACTTCTACACAAATTCTTCACCCTACAAATCTACACTAGAAGTTCAAGACTAAGTAGATTTTTCAAATTAACTTTGTTGATTTGAACAAACAAGATCTTTCTATTAGAATAATAACAAATACTACATTTCTCTCATTGTAGATAATCACCTTGCAAACTACAGTTTTCATTGATGACAAACATGTTCTCCAGAGGTTAATACAGGACTGGTATTTGTAAACTAGTACATATGAGAACATATTCCTTCACCTGAAATGTATGACAAAACACAAAATATCTCAAGTTTTATTCAAATTTCCCATGTGTCCCCCCACACACAACTAAAACTTTGAAGGCAAAGTTGAAGCAACTGTTGGGAACACTTGTTTAATTTATTGCTTTTCATTTTGAAGTTTAAATTCTTGTATTTTTGTTAGATTAAGGACTGTTGCAATGAGCAACAACTCTCACAAAACGTAGAGATAAGAATTCCAAATGTCAAAATATGTACCAAAAATTAAAACATCATTTTACAAAGTGGCTTTATAAAAGCCCAAAAGCTGTGTCATCAATATACATTTACAAGGTCCACTGGAAAAAGTAAATAAGTAAAACATTTTACTATGTACCTCTTTCTTTACACATTCTAGCTATATGTAATACAGAAGGCTGCCATAAACCCTATGCATGAGAAGAAAAGAAAAAAAAAAAAACAAAAAGACAAACCAAAAATACCAAAAACTTTACTTGCTTAACATAAAAGCTATAAGATTGCAGAAAACCAGTGCCTTTCACTATTAAATCAACTACCCTGTGACTACTGAGTTACATTCCTAAATATTTCAAGTGGAGTTGCAGCATCCAGAGACTACTCCTGCAGGCAAAGAAGTATCCAAACACAATTCCACTTATCATAGCCAGGAAGGACAAAAAATTTACATTTAATTTGATTTTATTTCCTACCCTGCCACTACTTAGTAAACTATCTTTTGCATATTTCTCCCCCTCACCAAACAATATTTAAAAGTGATATTAAATTGATATTAAATATTAATTTGGCACTTCAGAACAAAATTTTCTATCATGCAAACAAGAAAAAGGGATGAAAGATTTCAAACATTCTCAGTGCCTGCTGTACATTTTCTATCCCTTTAAGCCCAAATTTAGAAAAATTCAGAATTAAATGGTGTTATATAAAAAGTTCTGCAAGAAGACTGAATGAAATTAATATTTCAGGATGCTGAGTATTTTTCAAGTTCGTCTCTTTTCACTGTCTGTTTTTCAACTTAAACTCTGTTGCTGTAAATACTCAAAATATATTGTTAGACAAATCACTCAGTTTAAAAATATTTTTGTCTTGGACACTGCTGATCATAGCCCCAGTTTTAAAGCATAGCAACCAACTTTTCTAAAAGCCCAAACTCTCCAAGTATTTTAAGTATATTCTTTACATTTTTTCCTCCTGAAAATGAAATTTTGTTGAAGCACATGTGGTCCTTATTTTTGGATATTTATTGTTAAACATGCCTATCAGCAAAACAATCATTCACTGAATGATACAGAAACACAGGAATGGCAGCAATTGCTTCATAGTTTTTCCACAAAAAAAACCTGGCACTCTTACAGACTTTTTCAGTATGACTCAGCTCTAGTAAGGGCATTAAAGCAATTAGCAAATAGAAATTAAAACATGCTCCTGCAGAAGCAAACAAAAGCTAGTCCATGCTGCATGCAGAGCATAGTTCTAGTTTTGATACACTGAGTTTGCAATTAGCAGTCATTAGGAACCTGCTGACCTGTTTTTTGTTACGATGTGCTTGACTCTCTAATAGTGGCTCTCCAGCATTACAGCTAATGCTTCCTTAATCCTAGTTGCTCTTAAAGTCAAGTCCTTTAAATCCTTTCCTTTCTGCCAGATCCCAAGAAGTTGCAATACTTCAATTAATAATATGTGGAGAAATTTTAAAATAGAGCATTCTTTTCACATTCTTCCGAAAAATAAAGATAAAAAATCCTACAGAGGTCTTAAAACACACTGTGGATACTAATTAGCAAGGTCTGGGAAAGCTTTAAAAAGCTCACAAATGCTTGAAAGGAGAAACTTGAAGCAAGAAATTACTGAATCCAAACACTAGGACACAGATTCTTTAAATTGCTTCTTGGCAGAATAAAAAGGCATCATCATCCAACTATGCTGCGAGAAAATACAACTAAAAGGTTCTCCTGCGCACTCCAAAAAAACTGGCCCTGAAGCCGTGCGGTTATTGAAGAGCTCCTAAAATCACCGCAGAAACCGAAAGCTCCACCTCACTATCCTTCCCCCACCGCCTTCGCAATTGGAGCGAAGTGACACCATTCCCCGGGCACGCCTGCGCCGGGGAGGCGCTGGGAGTGCAGCTTTCAGGCACCCTCATGCGTCGGATATGGAAGGAAAGTAGGCGAATCCGCGATGCAGAGGTGTTTTTACAAAATTCTAATGTTGAAGTACTGAACAGCAAACATCAAGGCCCAGCAGCAACAGCAAACCTCATAGACATATCTATTTTATGCAATTTAGGGGTTGTAAAACTTGGCAAAAATACTTTTGATCAGAAGTAGGTTCTGCTTTTCAGATTACTGACCACTTGCAAGCTTTGCAGAGGTTTGCATTCACAAAATTTGTTAAGCCACAAGCTACTGAATATGACCCAATTTTCTGTTCTCCACCTATTCTCATATGGGCACTTGCATCTATTGTCCTCTAGCTACGCCCAATATTTAGGGTAGTAATTGCATACTGAAACATGAAAGATGGAAACAGCAAGGTAGAACATGGAAATCCTCATCAGTTCTAGTATTTGCATAATGTACCATTAAGTGACATATGATACATTTTCTCTAACCCATTTTCAGTTTCAAATTTGATACTGAAAGCGATTGATTTAAATGCTGGCCTTAGATTTGGCTGTATTTCTGGAATATTTTGTTTTTCCAGATTTTGTGACATCTACAGATAGTGAATTGTAGACCACTGAGTATTAGAACATATTAAAACTGAATAAATTTAGATGTGCTTTTTATACTTTGCAAAAATACTTTTTGAAAAGAGATAAGAAGTGATTCATTTCCTTCCATGCAGGGCCTCCTCCACTGCTAAAGTTCTTAATAAAACTTAAAAGCTATGCTCTACATCACAAAATCCTGGTAAAATCAATGACAGTTTTAAGTGAGCAAGCCATATTACATCAGACTCCAGCTTTCTTCTAAACCAAATCTTTTCTGTACTCAGAATAGCTGTACAGACTAGATGATTTTAAGCTTGCAGGTGGACAGATGAAAATACAAGGTCAAATGTCTTTATCAATAAAAAGTTAATCTCTCAATATTTTCAGGGCATAACATTATTTTTATAGTCACAATCAGAGTGAGAATTATGATACCATTATTTAAAAAAAAATACACCTCAAATCATTTTTTTCTGTCACTTCAAAAGCCATTGTTTCAGTCTGCTGAAAAGACATATTTGTGAACTATACAACATAGCTACCAGCTTGTACTATTTCTGGTGCGAGGAAGAAATAGATGAATTGAGTATATTTTTTGCCTTTTTTGCCTTTTAATTCTTTATATACAGTCCTATATTGTAGTGGATACTTATATGAAAGGTGAGAGACCCTGTGCAAGCACATGCACACATATGCTTTCTATCTTCATCTTTAGTAAGTATACTATGCCTAACAGATGGCTGATTACCTTCCACTAATCACACAGGCAATCTCACTTACCCCTGCTTTTCCGCTCAATCAGATGTTAGCACTTTTATGCAAAACATAGCATGTGTGTGTCAACCATAATATAGTTTATCAATCACCACAAGCCTTGAAAGACTTCTCTCACTCATTCTGCTCCCCAGTTGTTCACATTTTCCTTGATTATAAAGTGCAGGCCACATTCACTCTGCCAGCTATCAGATCATCCACATTTTCCTCCAATAGCAGTTAATTCCTGCCAAACAAAGAATCATTAAGCATTTTAAGCCATAGAGTAGTCCAATCATTGATCAGTGGTGCAGACACTGGGTCGAATGTTAATGAGCTCTAATTTCCCTTACTGTCACATATTGTTAAAATCAGCCATTAGCACTATAAAGCCACCTGTCTGTCAAGTAAACAATTCATTTCATTCTCAAAAATGCCACACAAAAAAAGAAAAACTGCGTCACTAAATAATTATGTCTGCTTGCTGACTTTGAAATCTAATGATGTAAATTTTAACATCAGATTTAATGAGCTCATTGATGTTGAATTTTCTTTAATAGATACGGTGAAAATGAATGTCCCACACAGCCAGGTAATATTAAAATGTCTTTTCCATTTCAGTAGTCTCAGGAATTCTCTGCCCAGTTACTGTATCAATTGATATAGTAGATTATATATTTATTATATATTTATAAGATAAACTGTCAGTATAATAAAAAACTGAAATGTACCATGTAAGTAACTACATATAGAGCAACTTGAATTTAATATCACAGTAACGCTATCCATGATACACTGATCCTGTTGCTGATTTCCTACCTGATTTAAAAAACAAAATAATTTCAAAAAGCTTTCAAAGAACTGAATTCTAATAGAGCAAATTTAGGTTTTTCTCTTCATATGTAAACATATTTCAAAAATACCTCCTTTACAATTATCCTATCTAGAATTCTGAACAAATCAGACAAATTTCTGTTTAGGACTGCTGGCCCTCTTATTTCACATGTGAGACTCTCAGAAGGTATATCTGATAGGGAATATGATGATGGCTCAATTCCTGCAGGATATGGACCAAAGAGCCTTGCATAGTAACGCCAACATTAAGCCTGAACACTAATGTGAATCATGATTAAAATTTTTAATGTGACTGATTCAAAGTCCATTAAAAAGTCTACCCCAAGGC